TAAAGGGGGTGATGGGCATTAAGGAGGAAGGACACTTGTTGGAGATGCCTGGGTGGTTCAATCAGTTAAGCGTCCGACTTCGGCTCAGGTCATATCTCACGGTTTGTGGGTTAAAGCCCCTTGCTGGGCTCTGTGCTGACAGCTCGCAGCCTGGAACCTGCTTCAGATTCTGTGTCTCCCTCTCTGCCCTTCCCCTGCTTGTGCTCTGTCTCTCTTTCTCTCAAAAATAAACAAACATTAAGAAAAATTAAAAAAAAAAGAGGACACTTGTTGGGGTGAGCACTGGGTGTTGTACGTAAATGATGAATCACTAAATTCTACTCCTGAAACCATTAATACACTATTATGTTACTAACTTGGTTTCAAATACACTATAGAAAGAAAGAAAGAAAGAAAGAAAGAAAGAAAGAAAGAAAGAAAGAAAGAAAGAAAGAAAAAAAGAAAAAAGAAAAAGAAAGAAAAAAGAAAGAAAAAGAAAGAAAAGAAAAGAAAAAAACAAAGAAAAAGAAAAAAAAAGAAAGAAAAAAAGAAAGAAAAAGAAAGAAAGAAAGAAAGAAAGAAAGAAAGAAAGAAAGAAAGAAAACAAACAGGAAAATCCAGCATTTGTCCTGCATTTCCTATGTGAACTGTTAACACTGGGTCGCCAAACCACAGATGACGGAAAGCCTCTTTAAAGGTAATAAATGCAAATGGACTGAAAGATGTCTGCTTTGCAATCCCCACCACATCAGTGGATCGGGCACTTATCACCAAGGGATCGATCACTGCGAATGTCACCAAACGAGGCAGCAAGTAGCTCCTGATGAAAGAACCGTACGCGCTGTCTTGCCAAAGGGTGTGAGCCTGCGTATGGTCCCCGGCTGCAGCTGCCCGCTCGCAGAGGGACGTGCTGGACCCCACCAGGGGTGTTCAGTGACGGGGCAAAGGGCCCACTCCCTCGATAAACTGTGAGGCCAGGAAAGGCAGGCAGAAAGGTGTGGACAGCCAGATTCAGACACGGCAGCTTAGTGAGCGAGACTACACTAGGGCACTTACAAAACAGCTACACTTGAGTGATGAGCCCTAAGGAACACAGAGAGGTGATTGTAATAAAAGTCTGGAAGAGTGGTGATTTTTGTAGTTGAGAGCAGGCCATGTCTGGTTTGAGGTGCACGGAGGGGGCCTCGGGGGTGGCGGCAGTTCTCACCGAGTGGTGATGGCCAGGGGGCTACGGTAATCCCCAGGCTATGAATTTACTTCCCACGTCTGATTTTATTTTGCGGCGAGATGAAAGTTTGTACCCACTCTGAACTTACAACGCGTGACGTGCTATCTTAGACTCTTTGCACACATTGACGTCTTTCACTCTCCCAACCACTGTGAAAACCAGTTCTCCTTTCCGTTTTACAGAGGAGATGGAAACGTAGAGACTAAGTTACAACACACGTGTGGAAAGCTACTCTACCTCACTAGCATCTAGAAAACACAAATCCAATCATGACACCGTTTTCCCAGCTTTCAGCGGGCAGGAATCTGCAAGCTGGATAATGTCCCCACTGGTGGTTATAGAGAAGACTGAAGAAAAGGACTAAAGGACTAGGACACCTGGGACCAGAAACTGCATGTACTCTGCACCCCGGCGACGTCCCGTCCCGGGGAAATTCTCAGCAGGAACAGAAAAGACACTGAGACGTTCACAGCCAGTTGTTTGTATAAATGAAAACTGGAAAACACCCCGAAGGAACCAGAATAAATAAAGTGTAGCATTTCACAAGAAAACCAGCAGTTACCAGACAGCTCTGTAAACACCGATACAGCTGCCCCTCACAAACGTGCCTAGTGAACAAACCCAATTACAAAATGAACCACACCGCGTGATACACTTGTTTTAAAAACAGCACAAACGTGGGGTGCCTGGGGGGCTCAGTGTGTTAAGCCTCTGACTTCGGCTCAGGTCATAAGCTCACGGTTCGTGGGTTTGGGCCCCTCGACGGGCTCTGTGCCGTCAGTGCAGAGCCTGGAGCCTGCTTCGGGTTCTGTGTCTCCTTCTCTTCCCAAAACAAACGTTAAACACGCGTGTATTAAACATGAAAAGAAAAAAACCAGCACAAACATGCAGCCTTCGCATATACGCTCGCATCTGTGAAGAACACACACCAGAAACACAATGGAGTGGTGAGGGTGACAGCCCCCTGGGGTGGGGAGGGGGCAGTAACAGAGTGGGGAGTCAAAGGGTGCTTCAACTCTACCTATTTTATATCATTTCTAAAAACGCAAAGGAAACGCGAGAAAATCGCTGATTGCTCCCAGGTGGAGGCGAGCGCTGTTGCCGGACGCGTTAGGCCTAAAGCTAATGCAGCAGCAGCTTGGGGAGGTACAGCACCTAGGGGCCATCTCAGAGCTGGCCTGTCCCCCGGCGCGGGCTCCCGCGCCACCTCCCCGAGCCCGGCAACCTCGGCCGTTGCAGGGCCCACCTCGCAGGGCTGCTGTACGGATGAGTTCACGCACGCGGAAGTCTGGGACCAGGGCCTGGCCCAGAGGAAGCAGCGCCCGGATGCGTCGCCAGGGGCGTGGAGGTGCCCCAGAGGGACTAACGGCAGAGAGGTCAGAGGGCTCACTGCTCTGCTCCTTGACCCACTTGCTCCCCAGCACGTGGGTGCGTCCACTCCACGCACGCTCATCGGGCACACCTACGATGGACGCGCCCTTCTGTACATAAGCTTCGCTTCAGTAGAACTTAGAGAAAAAAAGAAGCAAGGAAAAACGTGCCAGATAACGCTATGGGCCCGGCGGCAGCCTACAAGGAAAGACGCCAACCCAAGACCTAGGAACGGTGGCTCCGCACTACTGACTAAAAAACAAAATTACCTGCGAGAGATTTCAGCAGATGTTCCTTCCGAAGACAAAGTGAAAAGGAGCAAAGGCAAAGTTACACACTTAAGAAACAGAAGACGTCGTTCCGACAGCCACGGAAACTTCCACGTAAACAAAACGTGACTGACAATCTCGTTGGGGTACGTCCTTAAGTGTTCATAGGTGAAAAAACCAGTAACTTCTAGAATCCGCTTTGAGACAAGCCAGAGAAAGCCACACGGCACGGGGGAAAGCGCTGAAGCAGACTGGCAGACGCCGGCCACCCAGGAGGCTGGGTGGCGGGGCCGGGGCGCTGGCGGGGACCTGTACGGCAGCGGGCTTCGCTCTGAACAAAACCAGCGGCGGGTGGGGGGCCGTTCCTTGCAAGGGAAGCCCTGCCACACTTCCCCATCTGCCCACGGAAATCCAGGGGGCACGTAAACGAGGACACGGCTGTGAGGATCCACGGCCCCCAAAGCCCTCTCTCTGTCGGCACCCTGCGGGCAGAGGACCCACTGCGACCCTGAGCCTGCCCCTCCTCCCCCACTCCGTGGGCCCCCAGATGCAAAGGCTTTACCTGCAGCTCTCCTGGAAGCGGCACTTGCCCTCCAGGAAGAACGGGCAGGGCTTCAGAGACTTGTGAGTGGGGTAGAGGTAAAGGACCCGCACGCCCGCCGAGCCGTCGTCCGCCTCCTCTGCGCCCACAATCATGGCGTTGTGGTACTCCAGGGTGCCCCAGGAGCTGTAGTAGGGGGCGTTCACCTTCCTCCCACTCCACTCTTCCTCCTCCTCGTCCTCGCCCTCTTCCTCCTCCTGCCCAGGCCTGCTGGGTTCCGGCCTGGCCTCCCCTTCAGGAGCCGTCTCCAGCTCTGCCCTGGGGGCTACAGACCCCTGCGCCCCCTCAGCAACGGCCTCCTGGAAAGCCAGGTACTCGGCATCGCCCCGGGCTGGGTGCTCTCCGTCCAACGTGGCCAGCAGCTTGCTCTTCCTGACGGACACCAGGCTGGCCTCGGTGAGCTCGATCAGCTCCTTCAGGTCCCCCTGCAGCTGGCGCAGGTCGGCCAGCTCCGAGGGATCCAGGCCGGCTCCCAGAGCCAGCTCCACCTGCTGCAGCTGGGCGTCATAGGTCCGCAGGGCGGTCTGCAGGCTCTCCTCGTCCATCCTGGACGGAACGAAGGCAGGGGCGCGTCCTCGGGGCCTCAGAGCTGCAAGGAACACAGGCCGAGGGGTCCCGGACCTGCCGCCCTTATTGCCGGGCTACCCCTGCGGGGCCGACGCCGCGCCCTGCGCCGACAGCTGCGCTCCGCAGTCCTCACCGCAGCCTGCTATTCTCCCTCCCGTTTGGGGGACGAGAAAAAGGGCCGGCAAGGCCATCAGCTCCGAGTGGAAAAGCCGCTGGCCCCGCGGCCTCGGCTCCCCTCCCTCCGCGCCCGGCGCTCCCCGGCCCCGCCCCCCAGGTCACCCCTCTCCCTCCCCCCCCCCAACCCCCGGCCTCCCCGGCCCCAGCCCGCCTCCGCTCGCCCTGTCACCTCGGGCCCCGGCCCTGTCGCCCCAGATCGCGCCCCCTCGCCCGGGCGGGGCCCCTCCGCCTCCGCGCGGGCTTCCCGGCCGCAGCCATAGAGACCCCGCGGGCCTCACCGGCTAGAGCGGCCAACGCACCGCTTCCGCCCTCGCAGCCCACCGGCACTTCCTCCCGAAAGCCGCCGCCGCCGCCGGAAGTGCCTGGCGCGGAGACCGCCGGGATGAGGCGCGCGGGGGCCGC